AAACATTATCTTAGTCTTAGATAAGAAATATGATATCTGAAATACACATACTAATGTGTATTCATTCGTATCTTCAATAGAACCTTAGTACATTTTTTTATGGACAAAAGAGGACTAAGACAAAAAAATACCAAAGATAATGGTCTAAAATCTGTATATTTAAACATACTATTTTCCTTAGTCTTTCTATATTCATTTAATGAATAAAATGGAGGCATTTATCTACATACCATGCAATTGTTATATCTCTACTTTTCTCACACCTATAGTTTTATATTTACTTACATGCCACTCAAATCGTTGACATTACAAAAAAATAATACTTTTGCTAATTTTGCTAAAAAGACAATTACATACAGAGAGCTCCAGAAACATTGTAATTTACAAATCAAGCACTCTCTTTCATCAAATTTTCAAATTCTCTCTCAAATATAAAAACTCATTTTAAAACTCTAGCCCATATTTTTCATTTTTATCAAATTTTTAATTATTTGATCGCGGCATATAGGGTTGTAAACAAGCCTAGCTTGAGCGAGCTCAGGCTTGGCTCGTGTTTGGCTCGTTCGAAATAGCCCGTGTTCAAAATCGGTTTGTGTTCGAAATCGGCTCGTGAACAGTGTGTTCGTGTTCGGCTTGATTTAAATATTCGTGTTCGTGTTTGGCTCGTGTTCAGCTCGAAATTGGCTCGAAAAAATTAAATTGAAAAAAATAGATGTAAAGTGTGAGATTCGAACCTGAACCAAATGTATACAAAAAAAGACACTAACTACATTACCACACGAGATTTTATGATTTAAACTAAAATATAAATATATAATATAATATTATATAAATAATATATGTAATATATTATTATATAAATAATTATATATTTTTTTTAAATTTTGAGCTAAAACGAGCTGAACACGAGCGAACAAAGAGTTGTTCGTGTTCGGCTCTTTTATTATTCGAGCTTTAAAAACTTGTTCATGTTCGGCTCATTTACTTAACGAACGAGCAGAACACGAGCTACTTAACGAGTCGAGTATGAGCTCCGTACCTAATTATCCCCTTTTTATGAAATTAAAGATTTCAAATTTAATAGTTGGGCTTGATATTATGGCCATAGCCAATGTGTATCGGGCTTGCCCAATTATAGAGGCACCCACTAACTATTGGGCCTTGCCGGAACAGATCAAAATATCCCTATAAGATCATATTTTTTATATTAGAATAAAAAAAAACAAAATAATAAAATAACGATTAAACTTTTTTTCTAACTAAAAAATTCAATGATAAAAAAGAAATTTGAACAACATCAACGTTTTTTTTTAAATAAATATATTACAATTTTATTTAGAAAAATTTACATGCATAGCACCCAATTCTTACATTTACTAATCAAACCTATATATGAAAAGGTGGATCACTCTATTTTCACCCATTCATGCATAGGTGTGACATAGATAAATATATAAGAATTGGGTGCTATGTATGTAAATTCTTTTTTTATTTAAGTTTTTTTATTACATTATTTGTCCTTTGCTGCGTCATAGATTTTAGATTAATTTTAAATAAATATTGGAGCATTTTCCGCAAATCATTAAATAGGCTTCATTATTATTATTATTATTATTATTATTATTATTTGACATTTTAAAAGGGCTTCATTAAAATTCTGAATTTATTGTGATTTTCCACTTCACAATTTTTCAAATATTTTGAAACTTTATTCATTTTTCCTTGTATATGTTCATAATCTTTAAATAAATTACGATATAAGACTGACCTTTATTATCATAATTTTTTTTAATAATCACCATAGAAATTATTGATTTTTTTTAATAAGCATGTGTTGTATTGTGTGTATGTGTTTGTGTGTGTGGAAAAATTATTGCATACGTTCATCGCACGCAGAGATGTGTGCGGTGAACTAACAAAAGCACTTCATTTATCAAAAATGTGTATGTTAGTAAGCCTCACTTTTAATTTTTCTTTTTTTTTAAAAGAAATCTTATTAAACAGCCCACGCCGCGCGTGTGTGCGTGTTTAATTCTAAATTGCAAATGGGTAAAAATATCCCAAAGCTCTTGCATAGATGCAACCGAGAAATTTTAAATAAAATTAGAACGATAGTATTATATAAAATTTTTTGGTGACATAAAATTGAGTAAATATATGCTTATTTTTAATTTTTTTGATGAGACTAGTCGAAAAACAAGTATAATAACCTATAACCAATCTTATATTATAAAATTCTACACTGACATTTTGTCTATCACCTTGACCAAGAATAAAATGGTGTAGACTTCATCTCTCAATTCAATTGATCATTTAATTTCCAAAGGATGAAAATCAATATATAAAATAATTAAATAAAGGGGTATTTACATACATACTACTCAATTTCTATAGATTTACATATCTTTTATACCAACTATTTTTTTTTTGTACAACATTAAAAATATCATCATTTTAACTTTTAAAAAGTAAAATATACATATTATATGTATATATGTATATATATATATATTCATATATGTACATAAAATGTCAGTGGAGAATTCTATATGGCATCAAAATAATTAGCTATATATATATATATATATATATGCTAAGCTAATTATTTTGATGCCATATAGAATTCTCCACTGACATTTTGTCTGTCACTTGACCAAGAATAAAAAAGTGAAGGCTTTCATCTCTCAACTCAATTGATCATTTAATTTCCAAAGGATGAAAATCAAAATATAAATTAATTAAATAAAGGGGTATTACATACATACCACTCAATTTCTATAAATTTACATGTCTAATACCATTTTTTTTCCTTATACCACCTAAATTTTTTGTACAACATTAAAAATATCGCCATTTTAAATTAATAAAAGTAAAATACACATTTTCATGCATTGTTAAGGTGATATATATATATATATATGTATATATAAGGGCCTTAGGAATGTAAAAGGAAGATTCAGTTTATATAAATTAATATATATATATATAGCTACGTGAGTGTAAAAATTGATGTTTAGTTGTTAGATATGTAAATACATTGGAATTGAGTGAAATGTATGTAAATCTTTCAAGAAGTAAATGAATAAAAGGTGGAATTAAATGAGGAAGTCAACAAGGCTAAGGGACAATAGAAATGCCACGTATTTTGGAAGATTAGGAGACGAAGAATAATGGTAAGGGAAATAAATAATAGGGAGTGGGTTGATGAAGTATATGTTTGGGCTAATTTTTAATTAATTATATTTCATTGAAAATATTCTATATTTTTGTTTGACCATATTTTAATTTTATGAGCTTTCGAGAAAAAACTTGATGATTAGAATGAGTTTGGCAAAGTCCAAATTGTTAGAGTATGAAAGTGTAAGAAATTATTGTTTACACCATGAAGCTTTGAGAAAATTTATTTTAATGAATAAATTTTAAGTTAATTGGTTGAAGTTTAGAGGTAAAAGAGAGAGATAATTCTTGTGAAAGAGATAGAAAGGATATTAGATAACAATAATTAGGCTACTTATTCTATACTTAAGAGAAAAATAAGTTGGAGTAGTTGTCATGAATGGGCTTGTGAGTCATTTATTAATTTTAGTACACGTATATAACCACAACCAATGATCTAGGAAGCTTTAGATTGTTGTAGAAACTTTTGAAGATTTTCCTTGGAATTCTTTGATAATTTTTATGAAATGTAATATTTTTTGTCTGATTAACTATATACCTTGTGCTTTGAAAAACAAAAATTCTTTAATAATAATTAGACATATATCTTGCTAATTAACAACTTAAATAGCTTTATTTCGGACATACTTTCCCTTTTATCATTTCTTTGCATCTCCAATATCTTATATGTTAGTAAATTGATTATTATGTGGAGTGTGATTGTGGCAACACCCCATGTGCTAAGTGCAAGTTCAGAATCCGAGAGCACATTACTAGTAACTAACTTTGGGAAGTTTTAACTTATAGTTTCAATTTTGTTGATAGGAAAGCAAAGGATGTTCACTTACAACCTTTTTCAAGTTAAATTTGATTTAGTGCATTTTTATTCAAAGTTACATCATTTTTAATACATATATTTTAATCCCACACAACAAATTAACATTTTAAATCCGCATCATAATTTTGTTTATGCTATAATCATCCCCTTCAATATTTTTGTGCAATCTCATTTATATTGCCACTTTCACATTTGTGGTCTCCACCACAACATCTTATGTCACAATCATGATGCAAGCCTTGAAGATAATTATTATGACCTAAGTGAGATTTTGGCATATGTCTTTAAGAAGATAACAATATAACATGTTACATATAGTCGTATGCAACACTCGTGGCAATGATGACTATGCCTCAAGTTGTTATATATATTATATGTGTAAATGATAGGATAAATACTTTTAACCTTGAGAATATCATATGTTGACTTACATGAGACCAGCTAAAGCTAAATCCTTAATTAGACATGAATTACCTCTCTTTTATTCTTGCCAATAAAAGAACAAAAATTATCTTCACCAAACCCTACATGCAACAATAAAATCCAAGCTTCTTCAATCTAGAAATCTCTCTAGCTTATCCCACCACTTATTTTAGGGTTAAACTCCAATCAATCTTCACTATCAATCAAACAACAAATTCCATTCTTAACTTATCCAATCTGATTTTATTTGAATTTATGTCATTAATTAATTCAAATAAAAAAATATATATATATAATTTTAATATAGTGAAATACATGTGTGTGTAGATATATATATATATACCTGGTCAATATGCTTTCTCTTATTTTTAAATAATTGTTATGATGATTTCTATGTTAATTATATAATTTGTGAACCTCATGCCTTCCAAGTCAGCATAGGCCTACTTGTTAAAATACTCAGCTCCCTTTATATAAGAGAAGGTTTTACTCCCACAGTAAGGCAATCCAAGTTATTTTGATTTTATTCCACTAGAAAAGTTAGAAGAGCTGTCTCTTCTTCTTCTTTTCTTCTTCTTCTTAAATGGCAGGAAGCTTGTCTTTGGATCATCCATGGGCATTTGTCTTTGGCATCTTAGGTAAGATAATGATCATAAAGATTTTCATTTCTCTTTCCCAAGGCTGTGAATTTAGCTGGAAGAACGTTAGTCGTTTGAAAATCGATTCAAATTTTGACTTGGATCGAGATCTGATCGAAATAAAAGAGTCGAGCTATGAGTCGGAACTTTGGATTTAATTTTTTTTTTCAACCAATTTTGGGCCTTGTAGGGATTGGTTCAGAGTCGAGACTGAATCAAAGTCTTTTTTATCTATAAAAATTATATATATAATGCTAAACAAAACTAAATATAATAAGCCATGATCTGATTTCGAGCTAGAACAGATCCAAATAACTCAATTTGAACCAGCTAATTTCAATTTTGAATTTGATCGAGGCGATTTCGAGTTGCAATGGATCCAAAAAAGTCAATTCGAGCCGGCCCATTTCAATTTAGAGCTTGATCGAGCTAGATTCAATTTTAAGCGCAACTAGCTCGAATTTGAATATAATGAGCCACAAGCCGATCCCAACTCAACTCAAAACTAGATTGTTAACTTCCCTCTTCTTTTCTTCTATCCTTCTATTTAATTCATGCATGGAATAGCTTGCATGAATTAAAGAAAGGCAGAGGTTGGTGTAGCTCCTGTGACAGACAATATTAGAGAAAGTCGTCTTAGATGGTTTGGTCATATTAAACGTCGACCATTAGATGATCCGATTAGGAGAGTAGATGTTTTAAATTCGACTTGTGTTAAGAAAGGCAGAGGTAGACGTAGGAAGAATTGGGCGTATTGTATTAAAAATGATCTTAATTTACTAGAACTAGATGAAAATTTGACACTAAATAGGACGCAATGGAGAAGAGCATCAAAATAGATGGGTATGACAAGAAAACTGATAAAATTTTGAAAAGCCCTGAACCAAAAATAATGGAATAGCTTGCATGAATAATAAACTGGAAAAGCAATACATATGAAATTCTACTTTAAACATATTTACCCCTCACATTTGTTCTCTTCAACTGTCTAAGTTTCGATTCATTCATATGATTTATTTGATATCATAACATTATAAATTTAATTTAAAAAGAATAAAATGATATATCTCAGGTTCATTACAATAATTGTCATTATGCATAAGTTTAATTTCTTTGGAAATGATGAGCAAAAAATTACAAAAATAGGTTGACTGCTCTAAATATTAATATGTTCTTCACGTTCCAAATGATTGTTCATTTGCAATGACTGAATGAGACGTTTTAGATTGCCTTTTGTTTATTTGTAGCGCTCAGCTCAAGGAAATTAACACTGCTATTCATTATGAACCCGAATATTTTGCATTAATTTATAAATGGATTATATATCTATCTATGGTAAAAGGGTGTTATTTGAGAATATTGTTTCTCATATGTACTATCTGTCCCCGTAAGGATCAAACCAGGGTTAAAGAGGTCGTATGACGTACAATACAGCTGACTACCAACTTGCCACCTAAAGTTGTTCATCTTCCATTCGTTGTATAATTATTTGAGTTATATTCAGCTCTGCTCGCACACTGGAGAGAGAGAGAGAGAGAGAGAGAAATTAGCATTTTCTCGGCAATTAATAAAAAACTCGAAGCATTAGTTTAGAATGTATTTGGGATGTACACCTCTAATCCATATGTATGGATGACTACACCTAATATTCTCTCATTTCATACTTACTAATATAAATTAAAACCCCATAAGGTATAATGAATGTCTAATTTTCTGTGTTAAATTATTCATCTCAAACCAATTCCTAATTATTTACCATTTGTTACAGGCAATGCCATCTCCTTCATGGTGTACCTCTCTCCACTGTAAGAATTTTAAATTTAACTCCAGTAAAGTCTTAAAAACACTCCCCGACTATTTACATATGGTCATTTTAGCCCCAGAATTCATCGAATTGTCAAATTAGTCCTGAAATAATCCCCATGAAAAGCTATTAGAACTCAATTTTAAAATAGTCGGAATTTACTTTAACAGATAAGTAAATCCTGAAGCTAAAAAGGAGCTATTTTGACGCTTCACTTTTTAACTTATGTATTGCTATCTAAATAAATAAAAAAGAAATTATTTGCAGGCCAACATTTTATCGAATTTATCGAAGGAAATCGACCGAAGATTTCCAGTCCCTGCCTTACGTGGTGGCGTTACTCAGCGCAATGCTTTGGATGTTTTATGCATTCATCAAAAGCAATGCTTATCTCCTCGTCACCATCAACTCCTTCGGATGTGTTATTGAAACCACTTATATTATCATTTTTCTCATTTATGCCTCTACGAAGGCCAGGGTATGTTTGTAATTCCACTTCTTATAAAACTTTTATTTCCATATATAATATAAATTAGGCAAAAAGAAAGGTTTACATAAATACCACACAATTCTAATCCTATACTTCAATTTGTACATGCATGCGACCATGGCACCTTGCTCATGCAACGAAAGAAGTATTTCACTTTTTTAAAAGTCAAAATAGTAGTATTTTTTTTTATGTGACATGCAAATTAAATAATTGCAAGGGGCACATTTACATACATACCACACAATTCTTATATATTGGATATCAAGCACCTAAACTTCACTATTTAACATGCATACCACTCATATCTCCCCATCATTATATTTTTAAAAGTGAAATTCACATTTTCATGGATATGTTTATGATGCCAAGTTGTTGGGAAGTGTAAATATCAATTTTTGTGTGTTAGACATGTAAATTAATAAAAAAAATTTGTGTGTGTTACAGGTGCACACAATCAAGATGATGGCACTCTTAAACGTGGGATTATTATCTTTCATAGTTCTATGCATTCTCCTCATCTCTAATGACTCACTTCGCCTTCAAGTTCTTGGCTGGATCTGTGTTATATTCTCTGTCACCGTATTTGCTGCTCCTCTAAGTATAATTGTAAGTATATAATTAAGATAATTTTAATTAAAAATAATTAATTACATTAATATAAATTATAACCATACACATATCATATATAATGTAGAGGGAGGTCATTCGTAGCAAAAGTGTGGAGTACATGCCATTCACTTTGTCATTATTCCTCACATTAAGCGCGGTGGCTTGGTTCTTCTTTGGCATCTTCACTAAAGACATTTATGTTGCGGTAATTATTTATTATAGTAACAAAAATTATTATTGTTTTCTTATTTTATACCGTATTGCATGATTTATCTTGTTACTAACCATACAATTATTTTTTATACATTTACGTGTATATATAGCTCCCAAATGTATTGGGATTCTCATTTGGTGCGGTTCAAATGTTGCTTTATATCGTCTACAAAGATGCCAACGCTCCTAAGAGGTTGGAAGTGGAAGGAAATACGCAAGTGAATATACTTTGTTCGGTCGAGATACTTGTCGTTGGTGATGCGGGAGCAAAGTCAATAGACATTGATGGGATGAAAAAAGACGAAGGAGAATAAGGACGATAGTGGTGGCATGGGAGAACATTGAAATGGGTCTAAATTGAGAAAAAATAATGCATTTAGAGTAGGGGAACAATAAATTAGGGCTTGTACCTAGTTTTTACTTGCAAGTTTTCGTTGTAATAAGTCATGTAAATGAAGAGCAAGTCTTTGCAAGAGAATGGACCGGAAGAATTATGTAACTATCATATTGTTTTCCATATGCTTGGCCCTTGCATTGAAACATTGAATTATTTGAGAGTGCTAGAGGGTATATTGAACTCTTCTAGCAGACTATGAAGTCAGATTACGTCTACTGTTTCAGTAGGAGCGTGAAATAAAATTTGCGGGTTGGGTACAAGTCTAATAGAAAATTAATCCAACCCAAAATTATTTGACACCGCACCGAATTGTCAACCATCGATGGCCACGTCGCCATACACACCATCAGCGGACGATGTGACCGCCGATAGCTTACTGTCCGGATGGAATGTTTTTCCCAAACTACACCCTCCTTCAACACAACAGATCGGATCCTGACCCTCATAACTCATTTAATGTTTGCATAAAATTTATTCATGTTAAGTTGGTGTCTGTAGGTCAAATTCCAAAACATTTAGTTTTTGTACTCAATTTCTCTCACTTAAAAATTATCTACATATGTAATATACTAAAAGTGAGTTAATATTAGGACATTATTTATTTTGGTTCTCATGATTCGCAATTTATTACTCTATATTCCGTATATCACTATGTGATTGATTGATTTCATTTTGAAAAAAAAAATGCTATATATATATAATATATATATATATATATATATATATATATAATATTTACTTCCAAGCAAAATAATTAAGCGATACCTTATTAATTTCAACGAAGATCATTGTTGAGCTAAAGTTTGAGTGAGTTCATTAGGTATTTTATTCTAAAATGTAGGGTTGTAAATGAACCAATGCACTCAATGAAGAGCTTGAACTCAGGCTAGATTAAGACTCGATAATGTTCGTTCAAATTATTACATAAACAAACTTGAACAATTTTTGGAAGTTGGGAACTTAAATGAACTAAACATGAACATAATCAAACTTGTTCATTTATGTTCACGAACAAACTCCTTAAATATACTTAATATTAAACTCAATGATGACTAGTTTCAAGTATGATATATTATTTAAATAAAATTTAATTAACTAGAACTTATTTGATTATAGATTTAATAGTAATATAATTTTATATAATAATATTTTCTGATTAATTATTAATTATATATTTATTTTATTAAAGTTTAGGTTTTTGATGTGAAAATATATAAGATTTATGTGGTATGTATTGAAATGCCGCTTTGAATTATTTTTCAAACCCTATAAATCTCACTTTCTCTCCGGCCGCTCACAATTTCATCTCACCCAATTTCACCTGAAACATACAAAACTGTCAAGTGCAAGCATCGAAAGCAACGGCAAAATCTTAGTGTGTAAGGATCTATGAAACTCCTAGTCTCTCGTATATCTCTCTTTTTCCACTCTACTCATAAAGCAATGCAATTATTGTAAGTTATATATGATTAAGAATAGAGATGACATAACAAGTCAAAATAAAAGACATTTATGAAATTGTCCAAAAAAAGTTAGAAGAAAAATGATAAGTGCATATCACTATAGGAAAACCAACACCTAATAATGTAGGAGTTGGGCGCAAACTTGAAATTATGAGTATGACCATGCTAAAATATGCGAGATTATATCTCATATGATCATGATTCATAAGCTACATTTTATTTTGAGTTTAAAGTCGATAACTTAGTATTACGATCAAATTTGTAAAATTATTTATTGAATTTTTAAGAATTAGATATGCAGATATATAAGAATTGCGTGGTATGTAAATTTCTCATATTAAGGACAAAGTGTAATACAAAGAGCTAAGGCATCATTAAAGGAAACTAAGACACAATCAAAGATAGAAAATTCCAAACATAGTAAAATTACTCCATTATAGGACAAATTATACAGCAACATCACCCTTATAAAATAACAGAACCAATCCTCAATAAGACACTCATCAATACATCAATCACTCAATAATTTATTGCAAATTTAATTAATTTACTCAGAGAGAATTTTGGATGTTGTTGCCAAGAATTTGAGTAGGAGGTGAAGAATTGGCTTGAGTCGAGCTCGAGCCCGAGCTGCCCTCGGCTCAAGCTTAAGCTAGATTAATTGGAGAGAAATTCACATATATATACCCACAATTCTGAGGTACTTGCATATCTAAAGCCTAAAATTTTATATTTACACATTATGACAATGAACATTTCACTTTATATTTGATACTATTTTAAAATCTTCAGTGTTATAAACATAAATATGAAAGTTTAGCAGTCAGACATGTGAATACATAAAAATTATGTGGTTTGTATGTAAATGTCCATTAATATGAATTTGGACTTTGGCCCATGAGTAATTTTAATTCAAGGCACAGTTATATTAAAATCACAAAAAATGAATGGGCTATCAGAGGAGAAAGAATAAAAAATGTCAATCATATAGAGAAATAAAAAAAAAACATAATGTTTTAATATTTTATAATTTATATTCTAACTTTTAAATTTTAATATTTAATTGCATTTTACAATAATATTTTTTAAACGAACCAGCTCAAGATCTAATGAGTCGAGTTAAGGCTCAACATTTTACATAACTTCTTATATTTTATCTTTTCTTGCACATTATTATTCCAACACAAACTAATTTTTATTTTAGAAACTTTTTCTTTTGATTCTCCAAATTCATCTTTTGTCACTTGTTTAATAGTGTTTGTTACTTTATCCCACATAGAGCTTACTTCATTAAAATCTCAAATCTTGAAATCTTAAAGTTTACTCATAAAAATAATTTTATTTGTGTATTTTAGGTGCATCAATCTAATTCTATGACGATGATTCCAAATATACTTTATTTTACAATTCTTCATTTTAAAATCCAGAACTAATAATTGAAGTTGAGTACTTAAATTATCACTAGGAATGACCTTATAATCTTTACATTCTCGAGGATCTCTTCTTCTCATAAAAAAATAATCAATTTGTGTTTTATTTGATTCATTCTTATAAGTAATAATATGCTCATTTTTTTTCTTGAATAAAATATTATTAATAACAAAATCATATGCTAAAGCAAAATCTAATATGACTCTACGTTCTTTATTAATCACTCCAAAATCATGGCCACCATAATATTTTTAATTTTCTATCACTCTACGACATATCCATTTAAATCTCTTCCAATAAAATTATTTCTTCAAGAGTTATCATTTGTATTAATTCTTCCAGGTCATTATAGAATTTTTCTTTAGAACTTCATAAGCAATTATAATATTAAAAATCTTACTATCAACAATAATCTTAAGAGCTATAATTCCATTAATTTTTAGAACATTATCTTTAAAAATCTTATCTATAATTACACCTACATTTCTAATCACCTACACCATTTCTCAAAATATTTCTAAAAAAAAAATTTACAACCAAATCAGACTAAAAAAAAAATTCTATGACAAATCCTAAATCCTAAACACTCACAATAACCTTCAAAAGCTCTTCTTTTCCAACAATAATTCCAAAACATTTTTACAAGATAAAAAACATTTCAAACCAACCCATAAGTAACCCAAAGCTTTTACTCAATCAAACTAATAAAAAGAGCATTCCAAGTTGACAATAAAATTCAGATATAAAACAGAAATCACAAACTAAAAATAATAATGCATATACGGGTCATTTACATACATACCACCGAAGTCCTATGTCCTTACAAATTCCAAGTTCAAATGTTAGACATGTAAATACATAAGAATTGAGTGGGTATTTATGTAAATGTTCCGATATACATAATTTACTGCATGGACTGGAAGCGTTTCATGATGATGATGCTCATATCCATATAGCGTTGGGCACAATTGGTGAGACAGGAGGACTCACCAGAGCTGAGTTTGCTTCCAGGAGTGCCTGTAATGCATTTGTCCCAGCAAACATTGGTCAGCTTTCCCACCATCTCACTCACCATGGCTTTCTGCTTCTCTAGCTGCAGGACAAAACACAGGCTTGAATGAGTTCAACTTCTTCAATATATAGTCTAATTGCGAATATAAAATTTCGTTAGCATTGATTGTTCGTCTTAACCCATATATTTTGCAGCAGATTTATGCATCGGTGTTTTCTGTACATTGCGTTCAGTATTGTTTGGGTTGATAAATCTATTTTATTAACAAACAAATGGAATTTTACATATATACCACACAATTCTTATGTATTTACATACCTAACTTCCAAATATTGATATTTACACTTATAGAACTTTGTTGATACAAGCCTATGCATGAAAATGAGTATTGCACTTTTAAGAAAATAGTGATTGTGATAGTTTTCATGCGATCTTAAGGAATTGAGGTGTGTGCATGTCAACATGACTGTTTAGGTTCAAGAGAAGTAAATATATAAAAATTTTGTGGAATGTATGTAAATGTGCCGGGAAAAAAAACTTGCTAGTTTAATTTTGTCTTATGACATGATTGACAGTTTAATAAATGCTTATTTTTATAGATGCCGATATATAATTATTTTTATTTCATTTATTATAAATTGATTGCACATTTATCTAAATAGTCTTATTTTGATCAAACTCAAGTTAACTGCTCTTATTGCTTTGTCGCGCAACACTCAGATCCATATAATAAGGTTAAAATAAGTGTCAAACTTGAAATTTTATTTTTCAACTCATAACATCATCACTAGTCGGCAAAGTTATAATTGTTTTCCACTTTCCATGCTAAATATAAACGTGAACGTAGAGGACGAAGAAGAAGTAATGACAATCAATAATGATTTACACCATTCACATAGAAGTCAAAGAGAAGATTCTTATATAAACCACACAGTTCTTATGCATTTACATGTATAACAACCAAATTAATATCACATAAAAAATACCACCATCATGTACTTTAAAAAGTTAAACACACATTTTTATGCATAGTTTTATCACATCAAAATGTTAATAATGTATATATGAAAGTTTAGAAGTTAGATATGTAAATAAATAAAAATTGTATGGTACATATGTAAATCTTCCTTTCAAATAACACTAAGGCTCATATGTGCAAGAATACTCCACAAAATTTTGACGTAAGCCAATTGGTTTGAGAATAAATCTTGGGAGGAACAAACATGATGAAGTACACCTCAGGAAATCACACGAAATTTGCAAATGATTTGTTTTCAATTGTTAATCAAAATCACGCCTGCATGATGGCCACATCCATGGAGTACAAGAACAAAATATTGCAAAAACTTTTGTGATCATTATAAGATATGAAAGTTGTAGAAAATGGAATAATTCAATATAGCAATTGGTGTTGTCGATCACCCAATATAAAAGTATAAAAAGGATGATATATGGAGATTATATGTCAAGTAACATGCCCTCCAAACAACAACAATAAGCCTTTATCCCACTAAGTGGGGTGGGCAATATGAATCATTTTTCCCAATTGTGTCCTATTGTATTATTTTCATTTAATTCTAATAAATTAATATCATTTTGTATACAACATGCGCAAATCTTTTTAGTTCTGCCTCAACCTTTCTTAACATAAATTGAATCTAAAACATATATTCTCCTAACAAGATCATCAGATGACCAACGTTTAATGTGACCAAACCATCTAAGACAACTCACTCTACGTTTGTTTGTCACTGGATCTACAAATGATAAGAAATAAAAAATAATAAGAAAACAACATCTACAATCATGCATCAACGAACTATAGGATCAATTGGGAAGACGACAACCATATTCAATAAATTGAAAATCAAATTTATATAATGTCGTATACACATTAATGTGATGCATACATGTAGAGATAGCTTCAAAATTAGAAAGAGGTGGATCAATGATAAGGAATAATGACCCTCCTTTATCTAGGACTTGAGATGAGAAAAAGTGAGAAAAAGATTAATCCTAATAAGATAAAAAAGATCATAGTGGTCAAAACAGCGAACAATGATATTGATGCAAAAGAGCTTCATAAGAGCCTATTAATATGACTATAAGTCCATCCACCATTTCTCCTTATCTCTTATCTATATGCTTTGAATAAAGCAAATGCCAAATTCAAATAGAGACAAAAAAATGGGGATGAATTTCACTTGTTCAAAAAGAAGATAGTTGATATCCTTGTACTTTCCTAGCCAAATTTGAGCATGACGTAGATGCTAGCGGATATGTAATGGAAACCACCGACTCTCATCTTTAATAGTTGAAGAGCACCTCACAAAGCGAACTTTGAGGTATCAACCTGCAAGAACTATGCCAACTCACATGCAGATTTCAAGGGAAAACATCCACAAAAGGCTCGAGAAGCAATCATCAAGTCAAATGCTGGACTCATAGGACCAATTAGGCCAAGATAGCCTACGACATCAAGAAAAAGAATTCCATCAATGCTTCAAGGAGGCCCAGTGACTACCTATACCCAACATCCAACTACTAGTCTTAGTTTGGGTTTGCACATGTACTAAAGCGACATACTTTATGTACTATTTTTTCTGTAATTATTACATGTACAACTCATCATGTAGCTCTTTATGAGGCACTCAAGGCCTCAGGCCCCACCTATAACTAAGAGAATTTGAGGTCATAGACAACTTTTTAAGGTCATAGACAACATATTTTGCTTCTATCTTCCGTACTCTTGTGATCTATAGAATAAATTTTACCTTGTTGTCCTCTATTTCTCTTACCCTTTTCAACTTTCTTTGGATTGATAAGGTTCTAACATAACCCATGGGTAAAATAAAATCCAACGTCCTCTTAGGTAAATCAGATTCAAGCCACCTTTAGAGATCAACCTTAATGTATTGTGAACCATGATGTCACCATCATGGCTAATAATGTCAACGAAAAATTATGTATCATGAGCTCATTCGTTCAAGAAGCTATAAAAAAACTGGTTGCGCAGACGGTAGTAGCATTACAGCTTGGTAATAGTATTAAACACATCATGAATACTATATTGCATGACTTTATTAGCCAATTTGATAAGCACAAGGAAGTGTGCCCAAGCTACAAGATGGGTCCACTAGAGTTGTGGCTGGACAGACAAAAGTTACCTTCATGGTTGCCAAGGAATAAACTCGAGGAGGCATATCTAGAAAGAGAATCACCACCAGTATGATTGCAAAAAAAATCCCGCCAACATGTCAAAACCAAAAGTTACTCGATGTCGTTCTCACTTAAGACTTTTTGTCTATCTCATTTCTCACTTAAAACTTAGGCAAGGATGACGTTGATGAGGAGAGTAATGTTCTGAACCTCATTAATTGATCAAAAGGTTGTGGATCAAGAACAAGAGAAGTCCCCAAATGGATGGTAGTTTACAGCTCAAAGTATGGGCAAGAAACATCGAGAGGCAACGAGGGAAGAAGGGGGCCATTGTAAACAATTGCTGTAATTATTAATGTGGCTCTTGATGAATACATAATAAATGAAATGTAATTAGTTAGAATTGATATTAGAGTTGAATGTCTAAAGAAGAGCCCGATGAAATTTGCAAGACAGCCACAAAATGTATACAATGATGAAAAAGCAACTACAAAAGACAACAAAAATTCAAAGAAATGCAAATTTATCTCTGTGACAAGCGTAATTTTCAAGTAAAAGATATTGCTAGATTTACATCAGAACAAGGTCCATCTCAAAGAAGGTGGAAAGGAGATGAAGCTTATCAAATATGGGCCATTATAAACTTCCATACTTAATGGGAAAGAGAAATTACCAAGCAATACTAAATGGAACATTCGGAAACTAAGCAACATTCTTGCATTTAAAGTTTTAATTTCAAAAGGTGAAAGACTCGGAAATGAAGATGCCATGAAAAATGAATTAAATTAAGCAAAAGATTAGTCTATGATCGTGATTTGGCCATAAGATCATAGAAAGATCTATGAGAATATATTCATTTAAAATTCAACCATTTAAAAACTCCAAGAAAATAGCTGAAAATGGTGATTCACAAATTACTTTGTTTAGATTGAAGAGGACATCACTATAAGTCCATAAAAAAAATTAGATATCATTGATCGAGCATCGGAGAAAGAGTATAATAAGGCTTTGAAACAAAATTTGATCAAAATTTGTGTTATGCTAGAATATGAATGAATTTAAAATTTTAAACTCAATTGGATAAATTTGTATTTGAATTTAAATTCAACTTAGTTAATTTCTACATGAATTATCATTTAATTTGAACTTATCTAAGTTGATATTATAGATCAGGTTCCTTTCTTTGCGGAGTTCATTTGAAAATTGGATTAAATCAACTAGTACAGCAAGTCTATATTCAAAGGCTCGGAATCCTTAATAAAAGTCTTTCCTTTTGCCATCTTCTCCTCTGTAAAATCTATATTCAATGGAGTCTCGCATATGCAAGAGCAGAGACATCAAGAGACTAACTGCTATTCTCTACACTTAGGTAGACCAAATAGACTATAAAAATGCTGGACAAGTAACAACAGGCTCATGCACCACGAAGTATAATAAAATAAACTAGGAAAACTGCCAAAAGATAGCTCATTATAAAATTTTATTATTACAGTTAGTTTTCAAACTTGCAAAACTTTCACAGCTTGATCTTCCTGAGGGAATTAGAGGCAAAATAAGATAGCATAGAGCCATACAACCAAAAATGGCAGGGGTTCAAATGGTGCAATATAAGATATTCATGCAAACTGAATAGTAAAACTTGGGTATTTTTTACCCATATAGGTAAATATTACACGTAAAAATGAAATGGTAAAAATTTTGGTTCTCACTTTGTCATCAACATTCAGCATTAAGAAAAAATGCAATTAAGGTTAGGGAAAAATATATGAATATTTTTACTAATGAGACAGAAAAAGAGGATTATTTTGCACTTAATAAAAAGATGATGACGTGGAGTGCCATACAACAGTTGTTAGTGCTTGTGAAAGAAACTACAACATTCAATATTGATCTAAAGTTAAAAATAAATAAATATTAATAAATCAACATCTAGCAATGGCACTTGCAGATGAGCATGCAAAAATGATGAGATAAATTAAAAATATATATATTATTGAGAAATAACAATAAACATGCGAGGTTATGATTATGATTTGCATGATGATAAATTTAGTTTTTAACAAATACGGAATTTACGAGCAAAATATCTCATAGATTTTGATAATGAAATGTAAACTCTAATTTTTTGTTCTAAATACATGCATTGCTATAACTGTAATAATTTTATTTATAACTCTAGTGCTTGCAAATAACATGATAGTTCACTTTTCAACATGATTGTTGGATGCAAAAAAAGTGTTAGCACCAATCTCAAGGAGATCTGACAGTACATATGGAAAAGATATATCAAATGAGGGCTCACTAACAGAATATCCAGAGGCCCATACACCCGACTGTACGTATCAAGTCCAAGAACAACCAAAGCAACTGAACAGCTCGAACCTGTGCGGTTCGACCAAAAGCGAAGCACAGGATGATCCAAACCATTACCTACGATAAAACCAACCTAAGTGAGGAGCTAACACCTTGGGTCCTACAGTTTTATCGGAGACATCCAACAGTCTCTCTAAACATCATCAAGAATCAATAGGACAAATCTTAGCCATCCCTCGAGATCTCTTTGTCTAAGTGTGATTACCTATCAAATTACGGTGATTCGCTATCTATCCGATAGTCTAGCTTCGCTCTATCAATAAGAATTCCTCATCAAGGATCGACGATCGACGGCAGAACTTGACGACCCGATCGGCAAACATAGTCAACCAGCTCAACCTTGTTAGCCAATTGCTAGTAGGAGATCAACTAAGCGATAGCACCTACCGCAACTCGCCAACCAGTGACGCTTACTAAGGCCCATTTAAGCTAATCCTGGCAGTGCCCACTGAGGCCACACTAGTCTAGTCAGCCAAGCAAGAGAGCAATCAAGTTTCGGCCCCCATTCTTAAAATACCTAGAATAACCTATATGCCCCAAACTAAAGCAATGGTATAAATATAACTTCACATATTGTACCACATTTCTCTATAAATAAAGGATATTCTATGAAAAAAGGGTTACACACTTCTCTCAAATTAGTGTTCCCTCCCTCCCTCCCTCCCTCCCTCCCTCACAAAATAATGAATTATTTCTGCACTTAACCACATTTTTTTTACTGAAAAAGTAAGATCCCTCAATATCATACTAAAAAATCAAACACATAATATTTGATAGATGATATTAACGGACATCAAGTTAACATCTGCATCTAATAATACTGGCATCTCAAAAACTCAGAAATCTCAATAAAACTGAATCAGACAACCCATCACAGAGCAACTTATTCAAAATTTATTGCTCCTTAACCTGCGAAGAATGAATCAACTACACATCACAGATAATACATTCGAATCTAAATCACCACAAAAAAAAAAAATTTTAAGGATAGTTTTAAGGATAGCGCTGTAACAAACAAGTTACCGCTAAGTGTAATATTATAATCAATCAGCCACAGTGCTTCAGCCGAAGAAGGATCATAGAATCTGAGAACCATACCTCTAGAAATTGCTGCAGTTCCTCAGACTTGTCCATGGCCGTTAAGCTAGAGAAGGCGATGGAAACCCTAGCCCGTGGGCGATAAACACACAAAACAAACTTAAAATCGCCTCGTTTTTATAAAAGTTCAAAAATTGTTTATTTGTGGTCGCCTCCTCTATTTTATGGAGTTGAGCACGAATTGTTTCAGAATAGCCAGTCATTTTAATAGACTTTTTGATCTTATTATTTATATTAAAATATGAATTTAAATAAAATTTAATATATATTTATTATATTTTATAATTAAAAAAATTTAGATTACTATAAATCCTTAGTCTTCTCTAGTAAATTAATAATACTCTTCAATATATATATATATATAAGACAAGATATATATATACATATAATTGTGTTGGATACTAGTTTGTTGGCATCAACGGTATAAGACCCCTCATGTCAAGGTTTTAATCCTCTCTGACACTGCTGGCTTTAAGGAGGTGATACTCAAATTATTAGGAACATTAGAAGTGGTTGAAGGCTCGTCTAATGGAGCATTTGTTTCGGCAGTTTAGCTCTCCTCTGGATTGGGATTCGAATCCACCCCAGGCGACTGGTGTTATATGGGGGTAGTACTTGAGTGGTTACGCGCATGGATCTAACCCAAACCTAATGGGTCATGATGAGTGCTAGGAAGTTCGCGGCGATAGAGTAATGAATTATCGTCTTAGCGTTACACGAGAATTCAACACACACAGATAAAAGAAAAGAAAAGAAGTAAGCAGGGGGAGACACCTCAACTTTTTACGTTGAAAACCCTTGAAAGGGGGAAAAACCACGGGGTCTAGCCCAGTTGAAATAGTTCACTATGAATGATGAGTACACATGTACATTTTTTATCCTGAATTAGGAAATATGAAATTACAAAATTGTATAACTATAATATTGTTGATGTTTTTTTTTTATAGCAGGTTGCAAGAGTCATTGTTGATTGTTGTGGAGGTAGTAGTCCATCGTGAGTGTTGTAGATGGTTGCTTCAAAAGCGTTGATTGGCCAGAGAAGTCATAGTAAGTAGTTACGGGAACTGTGAATCACTTAGATTGTAGTTGTCGAGTATTAATGACGTTCGTAGACCGCGGGGACCAGAGTCAGGAGCTGCATGAACTGATGACCACGTAGGTTGTTGGGGCAAATATTGATGACGTTCGTAGGCCGTTGGTGCTAGATTCAAGAATTATATGATATGATGACCACGTAGGCCTTTGGGGCGAGTATTGATGACGTTTGTAGATCATTGAAGCCAAAGTCGGGAACTGCATGAGCTGATGACCGTGTAGGTTGTTAGCAAATTGATCGTAGTGGTGAGCTCTTGTCCTACAGATGGGAGATGTTACTAGATTTTCCAAGTTACAACGTTGACTGACAGCATCTGGTCGGCGGTGGTTGACGACGATCTACGGTTGTGGACGACGACTGGCGGTGGTCGACGACGGTCAGGATGTTGTTGGACTTCAACTCCTTCTCAGAGCTTCCAGTTTTCTCTGAAGCCTCCAGTCCCCCTCCTCATGTGAGGGGTGAGGCTCTATTTATAGTATTTTGAATGTCATCAATGTAGGAATATGAAATATTTTGATCAGACGGTCTGGAGAGCTTCCCCTGATCATACAAAATTTAATACACATTTGAGTGCCTTAATGATGTCCAAATTGAGTGATTTTGGGTTCGTTAGATTTGTCTTGTCGAGACACTCGATTCAAGTATAAACTTGTCATATTCGACCACTATTTGACCTTCCAAATGTGTCCGGAAATCATCTAAGTGTGGTTCAATGAGTTGTTTTGGGCTTGATTTGACTCAGATTGGGCTAATTTTTATATCATGAGGTTCGTCTCATCAAGCCAGTCAGTTTGACTATAAGTTTGTTGAAATCAAAGCTCTGGATGACTTTTATCAAGATTTGAATGTTTCCTGCTTAAAATATCATATCGAGATTCGTGTCGAATGATGAAAATTTATTGGTGACGTATCAGTTGCCCCCTATTTTCGAGCGAGACCATTTTTATCGTCCTAAAATATCAAGATCTGGAGCATTTATATCCTGCATATATATCAATATATATTATTTTATTAGTATAGGTATAAGAAATTTTTTCTCCTTTTATGTTAAGAATTTGAAGATAGCTCAGTTGATAAGTTTTTTTTGTTTCATAAGAGGGTGACAGGATTCGAAACATGCCCTAGACAGGTTGCCTTTGAGCCTGAAGCTGAAAAGGTGGGCCCAAAGGAGATCATGAGGAAAATATTTATTTATTTATTTATTTATTATTATTATTATTACATGTATATATATATATAATTTTTTGGAAGATGAAAAGTTTTTTTTTTTCATTTTTTTATGACACTTAATGTTTGCACTCCTTTTTTAGCATATTTAATAACAAATATTTAATTTTTTACTTCTTTTTGAAGTCTATAAAAATGATCATTTAATGGTTAAATCCCATTTGGAGCCTATAAATAGGGCCTGAAGGAGAGGGTAGAGATGCGGCGGTGCGTCGTGGAGACGCGTCACGGCAGTGCGACGCGTCGGCTTATAGCGTTGCTGCGAAGAGAAAGTCGTCTCTGTCCTGCGTAGCAGGCAAGCAACAGAATCTTTTTTCTCGTTGCGGTGAAGTGAAAAGTCGTCCCCGTCCTGCATAGCAGACAAACAACATAATCTTTTTTCTTATTGCAGTGAAGAGGAAAGTCGTTCCCATCCTACATAGCAGGCAAGCAATATGTAGCAGACAAGCAACGAGATCTTCTTTCTTATTTCGATGAAGAGGAAAGCTGTCCTCGTATTGCGTAGCAGACAAGCAATAGAATCTTCTTTCTCGTTGCGGCGAAGAGGAAAGTCATCCCCATCCTGCATAGCAAGAAAGCAACGGGATCTTATTTCTTGTTGCAGTGAAGAGGAAAATCGTCTCAGTCCTGCATAGCAGGCAAGCGACATGATCTTCTTTCTTCTTGCGGTGAATAGGAAAATTGTCCCCTTCCTGCGCAGCAGGCAAGCAACGTGATCTTCTTTCTTGTTGTGATGAAGAAAAAAGTCATCCATATCCTGTGTAGCAGGCAACCAACGGGATCTTCTTTCTCGTTTATGCCGTGTATTTCAGAGGAGACTCCCGTGCCACCCTTGCACATTCTATATGTGATGAAGAAATGTTATAGTTTTGTTGTCGTGCTTTGAGAAGAAGATTTTCATGCTTATGTGGTCGCGATATCGGGAGACCCCTTGACGATCATCAGAAGTACTGTGTTTTTGAGAGCCGTTGTCAAATTTACCCGAAGAAAAGCGGATTTGTTGTAGCTATTGTATAAATATATGTTGGTCTTTGTAGCATTTTTAATAATTAGATGTGACATTTGTAGATGATTGTTGGCATCAATTTTTGATGTCACAAGTGTATGATGTCCGTTCGAGCACTAAGAAATGTTGCTTGATGCATGTATTGACCCCTGCAACGCAAGACATCTACTTTGGACCCACCGACACGTGTTGAGGGGCACGTAACTGGGGTCATTTTACTAGGCTTTGAATTTCGCTTGGGCGAAGGCCGGTCAGCATTAGGCACATTAGACGATTTCGAACGGGCCCAAAAATATTATTCGTCGCGTCGCGCATGAAATTGGCTCAAATTGACCCGACCACCAGCGAGCTTGTTCAGATTGCCCCGAAAGATAAAATAGACCACGCGAGTGAGTCTGAAACGTTGATTCCATTTGGAAAAGGCGCTCGTTGCACCACGATTTCGCATGCAAGCTTAAAATATATGAATTATCATTTTTGACTCAATAGTTGAAAAGGTGGTCCAAACAACCCTGATTGATGAAACGGACTGCGCCAACGCGTCCGGAACGTCGATTTTAGCCAAGAAGGACGTTCACTTCGTCGCGAGGACGTATACGGGTGAAGAATACGCGAAGGATAATTATACTAATAATATAATAATAATTATTATTATTATATAATATATTATATTATTATATATTTAAAACCTATGCTCCTCTCCCGATCGCATGCGACACTTCGCGTCCGGACTGATCCCTTCACGCTGGAAGCCACCGTCGTTCGGCCTCCTCCACGCCGGCGCCGCTCATCGACCGGAGCTCCCTCCGGCGTTTCTCTTTCCAGCCGGCCGCGCCTCTTCTTCTTCTCCTCCTCCTTTTTCTTTTTCTTCTTCTTATTCTTCTTCTCCTTCTTTTTTTTCTGCTTATTCTTCTCCTTCTTCTATTCCTTCTTCTTCTTCTATTCCTTCTTCTTCTTCTTCTTCTTCTTCTCCTTCTTCTGATTTTATTTTTTTTTAATTTCATTATTTTATTTCGTTCTTCTTATTCTTCATTTTTCTCGGTCAACTCCGACGCCGAGATCCCGCCATTTGCCGGACCCTTTCCTCTTTGACCTTTTTTTTTTTCTTTTTTGCTTCGCCGACGTCGTATCTACGCCGGAGAAAATCAGCGAGCAGAACATCGGATTTTGGGCTGTCCTCCGCATATCTTTTGCTCCTGGTGCGCACCTCCGGCGAACTAAGTCCTCCACTTCGCATGAAAAGCCTCCGCCAAGGCTCTTTTTCGTCGGCATCCTTGTGGGTTCCCCTCATTCACCGTCGTCGAGCGATCCTCTCTCGCGAAGGTACTTTTTTGTTTGGTGTTGCATATTTTGTTATATGCTAAATTATTTATTTCTGGTACTTCCTCCCTCACTGCTTCCTATTTCCTATTCTCCTCGTTGCATGATTCATTATGGGATGCACTGGAGCACGGACTGGACGTCGACGGCTTGGAGCAAATAAAGAGAACGCGCCTGCAACCTTCGCGGTGGTGAGATCCCCTAAACTTCTAGCTAGCCTTAGATTTAGTGGTGTCTAGGCGTGTGGGTTCGATCGCCCACACGGGGTGCGTGCGTCGGCATGGGTCAGCGCGATGACGTGCCTGCGTGATGGATCGTCGATTTCCTAGAGCTAACCTTAGTTTTCCTAGCTTTACTTTGAGAAGCTAGGGGGTCGGACTTGGCAAAGCGAGAGAAGCTTTGTAGCTTTCTCGCTTTGCAAAGTCTGGAGGAG